CCCACTTCAATATATGTTGTCTGAATAATAAACAGTCTTTTTCATTAATTATTGTGCTTCACTGCTTTATGCCACCATAGGGAGAAGAAAGGGAATAAGCAAATGTGTCATCTTCAATATACTGTTGATTCAGTGTCTAATTATGGAAACAAACAGGCTGATAAAGATAGATGCATTCGCCTTTCAGCACGGAATCTCTCAAATAAGGACTCAATTTGCCTAAGCTGAGTGTCTGCAATTGGAGAGAAAGAGGAGCCTTTGTGGAATGGGAGAATGGTGTGGATGTGGTGCTTGGAAACACTGTGCTCCACCACCTGTGTGTGGTACAGATGTCTGGAGAGCACAGCACAGCTCTCCTCACAAACCTGGAGAACGTAATTAACGCGTCATGATTATGTTTGATAGTAACCTAATTAAGTTCAAACACTTCTAAGCGGTTGTTTGTTTTTAACAAACCCACAAAGATTTGTTTTGTCAAGTTTCCCTATTCAGCAGACAAAGCAGTGCTAAAGACCTGGGGCAGCTTTGCCTCCCTAGGCAGCAGCAGGGCAGGGGGGAGCAGGGAGCAGCAGGAGGCTCAGCCATCCCACGGCTGGAGATTGTGTGTTGAGGAGATCATTTAGCTCATGCAATCTCATCGTGCTCTTGGGATGAGGTCTGGGAGAGGCCCTGGCAATGCCACTGCTTGGCCTGTGTGAGTGGCCAGTCCTAGCTCAGAGGGGTGACCTGGACCACACTCCTCCTCCTCCTCTGAACACTTGGCTCTTGTGCAGGCAATACCCCATGGAAAGAATTCCACTGTGCCAGCCAAACCCAGCACAACCCCGAGGAGCTGCTCAGAAGCAAAGCCAGCTGCAGATCATGCATGGCAGTGGGCTGCATTCTGTGAGCCTCTCTCCTCTCCCAGCTGAGCAGTTATCAGGCTCAGGGCTGAAGGTGCCTCAGTCCCTTACACCAATGTCCTGCAGCAACGGTGGATGTGTCCCCAGACTTCACATTTCAAAGTTATTGAGACAAACAGCGTTGTCATAAATAAGAAATCACTGCCTCAGTCACAGACAAGGAGCTCCAGGAATATCCAATTAAGCCTCACTTTCAGTAACTTTTGTGCTTTAATGTACTCCCACTCTGAGTGCCTAAACGAGTCCTCACATCCCTGGGAACAACTCTGTTTACGAACCCACACACACGTTTTGCTGCAAGAGATGCATTTTACTGACTTGTAAAAACTCTTCTTAGCTGTAAGTTTGCCAACAGAGCTAAAATAACAAACAAAACTCTCTCATAATGTTATACATTTTCCAAAGCCCAGAAGTCCCTGCTGACTCCAGCGCCGCAGGACTCTGGATGTGATTGCCATCTCTGCAAACCTCCTGTACCTTTAGGGAAAAATTTATTTCCATGTCCAAGGCCCAGGAAGTGCCACGTCCCTCTTTAACCTCAGCACTTGGCACAAACACCTCTTCTTTTACCGTGAAGCAAAGAATTACTTCTCCATACAGAATTAGGTTTAACTTGGTAATTGGCTTCCCTGTGCCAGAAACTGTGGATTGACACATTATAAGAAAGAGGCCAAACCTGCCAATTCATTATTTTTATGCTACAGCCCTGTGTGCTCATTGAGCTGCCCAGAAGGCACACTCTGGGCCCCAGGGAAAGAACCACGCCGGGTGTTTTCTTGGATCCTAAAGGACACTCCTAAAGGCAACTCATTACAGCAGCTGCCAGAGCACTGTGGAGCTGCTGCCTGTCTCTGGAGCCAAGAGACTGCTGGGCAGTTTGCTCCTGCAAGGATCCCAGAGCTCCCTGAGCATCCTGCACAGGTCAGAGCTGGATGCAGTGCCCTGCACAAGGGGAAAGAGCCACGGGCAGAGCACAGTTCACCCAGGGCTGTGCCACCCTGGAACACCTGTCTCATAGGCCCTGCTTCTGCAGGAAGGACTGGCAAAAAGGCATAACTCACACAAGGCTGTAAATTTTAAACCAAAGCTTTCCATTTTCTGTACCTGATTATTTATGGCCCAAAGTCTTGGGAACAGGAAGAGCTGCTTTTCCACTCCTCCAGTAACAACTTTATAGCCTTTAGAAAAACAGAGTACATGAACATAGCTAACTTTCTTTCTGGCAAATGAGGAAGGCCTGTTGGAACAAGTTTGCTGCCAGCCTCTCCCCTCTCAGCCCCTCTGCAGGCACTGAGCCTGAATTCGTGGCAGCAGCTCTGCTTGTAAAAGAGCCTGTTAGCTGCACTGTATCTAACAGGTCCTACACTGGAT